CCAGCCAGGACTGGCTTTAAACTGGAACTGCCATCCTCAGATCTCAGCCTCCTGAGTAGCTAGCATTACAATTATGAACAGTGGGTACCTGGCTTGTTTTGTTGTTGTTGTTGTTTTGTTGCTTCTCCCCCCCCCCTCCCCCCCCCCCCCCCAAATTATAAAACATCCACATACCCTATGCCATAAGTAGGATGTTCATGGTTCATTTTCCCATTCCTGTACTCTCTTTGCAAATTAGTGTTGCCAGGCTTTGAAGTACTATCACTCCTTTGAGATCCTAACACCTTCCTAACATCTCAAGGAAAAACATCGCCTAAAATAAACAATACATAAAAGGTCTTCTATGACTGAGAGACTGTCTTTCTCTTTTTTGAGAGGGCGGAGGGGGGGGGGCCGGTCGTGGGGCCTGAACTCTGGGCCTGGTGCTATCCCTCAGCTCTTCAGCTCAAGGCTAGCACTCTACCACTTGAGCCACAGCGCCACTTCTGGTTCTTTTCTTTTGTGGTGCTGAAGAATCGAACCCAGGGCCTTGAGCATGCAAGGCAAGTGCTCTACCACTGAGCCACCTTCCTAGCCCCGAGACTGTCTTTCTCTCCAGCTCTTCTGTCAGCTAAAATTTCAATTACTTTACAAGTCTTACATGGATGCTATTTATGTTAGGTATGCTCTTACCTCTGAAAAGAAAGGATGCTGTTTCTAAGTAAGCATGCTAGATATTAGCAGTTTTCAGAATGATGCAAATCAAAAACTTCACAAAAGTGCCTCTTACAAATATATTTAGATAATGAGCACTTAAAAAGTTTTTGGCATAAGCCTTTTACATTGCTTTTCAAGGAAAGTTCAAGTTATATATGCTTTGTCTAGAGTCATAGATAGGACAAAACAGATTCTAGAAGAATTGTATCCTAATTGAACAAATGCTTATTGAATTGCTTGTCAATTCATCTACTAGTTCTCTGAATTAAAGGATTTTAGATTTCAACCCTTTCTTAGGCAGCCAAGTGTAGTCAGTATGCATATATCATGAATGTACAGGTAGATGCCCACAGTGTGGTATTTGCTGTACATGGGTCAGTATGGTAGAAACCGATTAGTCCTGTGGCAATAAAGGCCTCATGTCTGTTCACTTAGGGGAGAAGAACAAAAGAGCAAAGCTTAGCCATATATTGTTGCGTAGCATAGCATATTGAAGATGTTACCTGTAGTTTGTCATCATATAAGTTTTAAATGTGAAGTAGGAGGAAGGCTACCTTGAGTGTGGGTTTGGGGAGATGAGACTCAAGATATAGGCAGGTCTAGATTACAAAAATAGCTGTAATATATAGAAGTGTATTAAGAAGGACACAGGGGTCATATGATCAGTTTTAGTTTTATACATCATCTAAGCAGTAGTTTGGCAGATGTACTGGATGTGGTAAGAAAGAAGGAAGCCTACCGCAGGGATAGGCCAAGCAGTGGTTGATTGAAGACTACTAAACTCAGTTCCTTGCAGCCAAGGAGAGATAATGAGAGACTAGAGAAGATAAGGAGATAGAATTTGGAGATTGAATGATAAAATCTGGCAAATGGTTGGATGCTAGAGGCAAGAAAGAGGTGGAAGTTATTAGGACTATAACTTTGAGGTCTAATGAAGTAAGACCAGAAGTTTCCAATGATAAAAGTTTGGGGGAAAGGAAAGATAAAAACTTTTGAATATGATTTTTCACCTGGGTGTAATACTGTAATAAAAATAAAACATTTTAGTTGAATTGAACATTTATTTAATCAAAATGTGTAAGTGTGAACCTTCTTTAGGTGAACACTAATGAGCAGTGTCAAAACAATGCTAGTAACTTGGCCAGGGTGTTTCCTTGTTAGCTGAAAGCACTCACTGAACACTTTGGCATGCCTTCCTTTGCACATAAGTACCTGGGAGGCTTCAGGTCTGACAAACTGAAGCTGTATACAGCTCTCCAGTTAGAAATAGCTGCACAGTTCCACCTGCACTTCCAGGATATACTTAGTTACTGTATTAATCTGACCTTAAATCTGTATGCAAATTCAGTAGAGTCTAAATGCAACAGTTTTGTTTATTAAATTGTACCCAGGGATGGAGTATACAGAAATTATGAACTTCATGTACATTTGATAAATTTTAAGTGAGTCAGAACATTTTTGAAGTCCTGGCACCAAGTATAGTTAATAACATGTTATCATGTTTCATGCATTGCTTATGCCACTTTCTAAGACCCTCAGTTGAGAACAGAAAATATCATGTACCCTTACTCTGTCAGAAAGTAAGAGCTTCATCTCAATCTTAGCTTTGTCCATGACCACATGTTCACTTTTCTAGGGAAACAGGATGTCTGAATTTGAATCCTTACTCTCTTCCTATTTCCTATTAATCCAGATTATCATGTAGTATGTTTATGGTCTCCGGTTTAAGTCCTCCAGAAATGATACCTTCTCTCTCCAAATATTCTTAAATCTCTAAGCCACTTACAACTTTTTGGCTTCCTACCTAGTTTTGATTATTGAAGTTATTAGAGAGTGTATGAATTAAAACAATACAATAGCTTCACCATCACTGCTGTGGGTTTTCATTGCCATCCTGAACCCTTTTTCTTAATTCTTTCCTGGCAAGGAATCTAGTCACACTCAAGAAGTTGCTGGTTTCTTGACAGAATAATTTAAAATGACAGTCTCCCCCCCCCCCCCCCCCATTATATTTTGTGAGCTAGGATTGAGCTGGATACTGTAGCTATATTTAATCATAATCTTGTCTGTAGGTTGCATTTTTTTAAAAATTATTTCTTACCCCTCCCAGTCAGGGTAGGTAGGATAAGAGAATGTTTATCTGAGCTAAGGAAGAAAGAAGGAAGAGAAATGAAATTAGGTGTGCTTTGACTATCAATAAAGTGATTAAATACTTCGTAGTATTTGTGAGCCCACAGTATTTTACTATAGGACTGTTCATGAATGCCAGGAGTAGCCTAAAACTAGAATGTAAAGATAACATGTACTAAACACTGAAAAACTAGGGAAAACAGGCTGCACAACAGATTTGTTAGGCATGTTAAATCACTTTAGTCAGAAACCAAAATCTAATCACATATTCATTTAAATGTTGTGATTTTTTAACATATTCTGTGTGATTTTACATTTTGAATTGTTTTAAAATATTACAGCAAATTTTTTTTTTTGTCGGTCATGGGACTTACACCATAATATTACTAAAGAAAATAACTACATCTGTGTCTATCAGCTTATAATTACTTTTCAATTTGAGCTATACTTTCATTTAAAAAAGAAAGACAAGGTTTTTGTTTTGTGAGTGTTGTGGTTTTAAATATTTCAAGTTAAAATAAGTAATTGTTGAAGGAGATGGAGAAACCTGTTTTTCATTGGTGTGTCCCCACCCCCCGGAGTTCATTTAGATGAGTTAGTACAATGTGGCAAACAGTTTTTAAAGCTTTCATCTCATACATTGAAGTAGCATATGAAGCTGAGCACCCAGCTCAGTAGGACACTGAGGAGGATCTCATTTCAAAGCCAGCCTGGGCAGCAAAATACTTGACTGTGATCAAGTGGTAGAATGCTGTCATAAAAGCCAAGCCAAGAGGAAAGCAAGGGGAGGGATGACATTGTCCCCAAAGGAATTTACTTTTTACCTAACATGTAACTGTAACCCTCTGGATGCAATCTTTATAATAACAACTTTTTTTTTTTTTTTAAGCCAAACAAGAACTCAAGGCCTTGATTGGGGGGGGGGGGGGGAGGTCTGTCATGGAGCCTGAAATCTGGGCTTGGGTGCTGTCCTTATGCTCTTTGGTGTAAGGTGAGCGTTCTACTGCTTGAGCAGCGCCACTTCCGGTTTTCTAGTGGTTTATTGGAGATAAAGAGTCTCACAGACTTTCCTACCCGGTTTTGCTTTGAACCGTGATCCTCAGATATCAGCCTCCTGAGTAGCTAGGATTACAGGTGTGAGCCACCGGCGCTCTGTAAGGCCTTGATTTTTAAGCCTCAGTGTTAGAATATTTTTCATTTAAATTTTTTCTTAGTATTTCATTTTGAACAATACAAACTATTGAAGGTGTTCAATGATCTACATATAGAAATCTAAATATGCCACAGAAATATTAAATGTCACTTCATCTATCTTTATTAGTTATCTTGAGTGAAACAGTCCAATCGCATGATTTCCAAAATCTTTTCTCTTTCTCTTTCTCCTTCCTTCCTTCCTTCCTTCCTTCCTTCCTTCCTTCCTTCCTTCCTTCCTTCCTTCCTTCCTTCCTTCCTCCCTCCCTCCCTCCCTCCCTCCCTCCCTCCCTCCTTCCCTCCTTTCCTTCCCTCCCTCCCCTTCTCTCTCCCTCTTTCTCTCTCTCTCTCTTTTTCTTTCTTTCTCTTTCTCTCCTCTCCTTCTCTCTTTCTTTCTCTCCTTCCTTCCTTCCTTTCTTTTCTTTCTTCTTTTTCTTTCTGTTGTGGGGCTTGAACTTTGGGCCTGGGTGCTCTCCCTGAGCTCTTCAGTTCAAGGCTAGGGCTCTACCACTTGAGCCACAGAGTCACTTCTGGTTTTCTGGTGGTTAATTAGAGATAAGAGTCTCAGACTTTCCTGCCCAGGCTGCCTTTGAACCACAATCCTCAGATCTCAGTTTCCTGAATAGCTAGGAATACAGGTGTGAGCCACAGGTGCCTGGCCTTTTTCAGATTTTTAGGTTTGATGCTTTTTGTTGAAGAAAGTTATATCACTACTAAGTTTTGAAATTCTAAAGCCATGTAATCCAGTGGTTAGTAGAAATTTTTAAAAGAGTACATTAGCAATCAAGAGAAAAGGAAAATGTATAAAGGCTAAGATACATAGATTTTGATACTTCTTTTTAAACATTTTACTGTCTAGGATTTCAAAATGATAGACTATGATTTTGAAAGAGCTATAGAATTGGGGATTTTTCTTTTGTTTTGATGTGTCATTTAGTGTATTATCTTTAGGAAAATAAATTCTTATTTCTTTTTGCTTTTAGGATTTTCTCATTCAGCATTTACCTTTGGTATAGAAAGCCATATAAGTCAGTCTAATATAAATGGTGCCCTTGTCCCACCTGCTGCATTGATTTCTATCATCCAGAAAGGTCTACAGTATGTAGAGGCGGAAGTTAGTATTAATGAGGTAAGGCAGACATTTCAAATACACATTCTTACTCTCAAATGCATTCTTTAATTAGCTCTCTTATTTGTTTGCTTGTTCAGTATCTGACTTGAGCTCCACTGATTACTAAAAATGTTATTTGTTTTCGACTAAAAATGTTGATGTATCAGAGCATATCTGTAAGACATAGTGGCTTCCAAGTGTAAGGACTGTCAGCTGTCATAAATAAATTACTTATTTGTTCATTTATTAGCATATAATTTTTAAGAAAGCACTGGGAAATAATTTTAATTAGCATAACAACATTTTGCTCTGGAATGTTGAGACTGAATTGATGGTAGAGAATTGGAAATTCACCATGTTTAGATATATATTGATTATGGAAACCAATTTATAATTGAAGCCAATTCTTGACACTTTTGCTTATCTAAATTCCACATGGAAGCAATTTGCTCAGTTCATATATTTGCATACTGGGGCACACAAGCAGAATCCTACTTGTTCACTGATTTTATAGCATCTGATTGGAACACAGCAACACGTATTTATTTCTGTGTTATATATTACCTGTCCTATATATTCAGTCCTGTATATTACCTGTGGTAAACCTCTGGTCTAGCTTAAAAGGTTGAAGTATGAGCAAAACTGACAATATGTGGTGCTTTTTCCCATTTTCATTTGAGAGTTCAGCATGTATCCTGTTTTTGTATAATTTTGCCTGAAATGTGTATGATTTCTATAGCAATATTTGTCACTGTAATTACAAAGTGTAATAAGATTGATTTAATTATTTTTAGGTCTCTTCATTTCTGAGACTGAAAGGTCACTGAGTTAAATGTGCCTTCGTTGTGTTTTAATTGCTTTTCTTTTCAAAGTATGAACAGGGTGAAAAGTACATACCACCACTCGTTAGAGATGAACACTAACTTTTCCTGAAAATTATTTTCTAAGTTTAAAATAAAATAGCTGGGTTTTGGTAGCTTACTCTTGTAATCCTAACTACCCAGGAAACTGAGATGAGTGGGTCTTAGTTTTCAAAGCCAGCTCTGGCAGGAAAGCCTGTGAAACTCTTATTTCCAAATAACTACCAAATAAGCCAAAAGTGAAGCTGTGACTCAAGTGGTAGAGTATTAGCCTTGAGCATAAAAGTACAGGGACAGGACCCAGGCAACCCCAGGATTGATTCATTCTCTCATTCATGTGTGCGTGCGTGCGTGCGTGCGTGCGTGCGTGCGTATGTGTATGTGTCCCCACAATGTATCTGGTTGGTTTTAGTATTTTTTTACCTACTTGAATTACTGTCTTCTATTCAAATATTTTATTGTTGCTTAGTTTAGATTGATGTGCTGGGTTTCTTTAATCCAGCCATATCCTGCACCATTGTGCGTGACCCCACACACCTCTTTACACTTTACAGGACCTCTTCCCCCCCCCCCCCCCCACACACACACACACACAGCACAGACACTGAAGAGTGTCAGTAGTATATACTCATTAAGTAAATTAGGTCTCATACATGTATGTTCCTGTTCATTTGGAATGTTTTTGTATCTGACTAGTTCTGTTTCTGTGTCTTTTCTTGTTACTTGCTGGAGAATTTCATTATTATCCACGAGCTTCCTAATGTAAACAAGTGGAGTTTTGGAAATTTGCCAGTTACACAAAACTAAAGAAGCAAAGCCTTTCCTAACTGCTAGATCCTGAGTCTCTCTTTAGTGAGAGAGAGTGATTCATAGGTCCGAGTCGTGCACAGCCCCTCATATGCTGGGGATCCAGCCGTGCTAGAGAGCACTGTACTACTGAGGCTCTGTATACTAATAAGCTCCGTGGTGATGGTGGTTGCTGTTTGTCCCCTGTCCTTCATACTTTGAAGTTAAGGGGGCCTCAGCTTCCATGATTAGCTATGAAACTTTATCAAGTCTTCAAATTTTATTGCGCTTAGTCAACATTAGCAAAATAAGGTGACTAAGTGGATTTCATAATGTCTGAAACTTAACGTGTTTTTTAATATTTTAAGCAAATTACAACAATTTTTGAGTCCAAAGCTTTTTTTTTTTACAAGTCCTTAATTTTTTTTAAGAATGATAGTTATCCCTTTCTATCTTTGAGGATTATTTACAGCACCCTTCACCTCTTACAAATCCCCAAGTCTCCAAATGTTCAATTCACATTCTGAAATAGTATTTTTTGCATAGACTACACACATCTTTCCTTATGTTTCCTTACTATCTCTAGATTAATATATAATAACATACTATGATGTACAAATGTTACTTTTGATCCAATTGTTTGAATGTGATATGGCGCCAAGCACGTCCTGGTTGTATGACCTATTCCATATTGTCATTTTCACTATTAGAATTTTAGAATCTAATAAACTGTCATCTGGGCCTACATTTAACAATATGAATAAATGTAAAGGAAAATTTGAACTACCATTTGCTATTGCCTGTTCAGGTTTCCTATTTTCTTACCTTCCCTCTTTCTTACATGAATTCAGAAATGATTGATCTAAAATACATTATTTCATGTCTGTGAATTGGACATTTGGAGACTTGGGGATTTGAAAAGAGGTGAAGGGTGCTGTAAATAATCCTCAAAGATATTGAGGGGTGTTTATCCTTCTTTAAAAAATGAAGGTTTTCATTGTGTCTGTTGATTAAGTACAAGTAATCTTAAATGTTAACTTTGATTTTCTTCTCCACAATTTTCCAAATCTAGGATGGTACCTTGTTTGATGGTCGACCCATAGAGTCTCTGTCCCTGATAGATGCCGTAATGCCTGATGTAGTACAAACAAGACAACAAGCTTACAGAGATAAGCTTGCACAGCAACAAGCAGCAGCTGCTGCAGCTGCTGCAGCTGCAACTAACCAACAAGGTTCTGCGAAAAATGGAGAAAACACCGCAAATGGGGAGGAGAATGGAGCACATACTATAGCAAGTGAGCTGAGGACTTTCAGGATTCTTTTCCAGGGAAATATTCTGTTCTACCTGATATCTCATCTTCTAAGCTAAAATAACTTTATGAGTTTCATTTTTTATCATCTTTTCCCCTTAACTTGTAAGGTACAGTTGAGATTTTTATTTTTAAGGCTCCAAAAATCTAGATTTACTTCATTCACTTTTTTTTCTCATTCTTCAGTGAAGTTTTGTATCTGTATTTATTTCTGAATAAAATTTTTTATATTGGTTATTAGAAAAAGCAGTAAATCTCTGACACACATTATTTATTATATAAAGGTGACTAACATCATATGAATGATATCAGCAACCCCTACTGGCAGAAACTCAGAATACTATTGCTATACATCATATTTAACTCAAATACATATTCCAAAAAACAGTATAATTGTAGTATAAAGTTAGAATTTTATTTCTATATGAAAAGATTATGTAGTTATGTTCAAGCTAACCTGACATAGTGTCTGTCTGTTATCATCTATTAATTATCTGTTTGTTATACTGGGTATATATTATAAAGAGAAGCAGAAAGTATTTGATGGTTAAGAACCCCTACCCTCCCCCACGCCCATGACAGTATTACCTAATGTTTTCACTTTTTCTCATGGTGCAGATAATCATACTGACATGATGGAAGTGGATGGGGATGTTGAAATTCCTCCTAATAAAGCAGTTGTGTTACGGGGCCATGAATCTGAAGTTTTCATCTGTGCCTGGAACCCTGTTAGTGATCTCTTGGCATCAGGGTATGTTTTAAAATGGCTGGGGGAAGGGAGTTTGTTTTTGTCTTGTTGGTTTTTTTTTTTTTGTTGTTGTTGTTGTTGGTTTTTCTTTCCAGAGGGTCATGCTCTGTACCCCAGGCTAGACTTGAAATCATAATCTTTCTGCCTTAGTCTCTTGAGTGCTGGAATTACAGGCATACCCCACCAAACCTGACTCAAGTACCTTTAAAAAATATTTTATGTAGCTGTTAAATATTTGATTTACTTATTAATATTTTCCATTTGTTGTTGTTTCCTTGAGGTCTTTTTGCTTCAGGAAATCTTTATTTCTTCATGAAATAATTTTAGAATTACTTCAGGAATACTTAGAGGTCCCAAAAGGCAGATTTCTATTTGAAATAGAAATCTTGGTAGTCTACTGTTTTATTTGCTTTACAATTAATAATGAGATATAAATACATTGCTTTGATTCTGAGATACTTGGAAATGCCACAAAAAATTAAAATAAATTACATACTTTTAGGTCTGGAGACTCAACAGCAAGAATATGGAATCTTAGTGAAAATAGCACCAGTGGCTCCACACAGTTAGTACTTAGGCATTGTATACGGGAAGGTGGGCAAGACGTACCAAGCAACAAGGATGTAACATCTCTAGACTGGAATGTGAGTATTCTCTTCTTGGTTGAGTGGTCCAGGTATGAAAACATCTAAAACTTATAGTTTAAAGAAAACTTAAGGGAAAAAAAAAACCCTTAGCTTTGTGCAAAATCTGGAAATAAAATAATGTTTTGGCTCCAGCATGATTCTACATCTTCAGGAAGAATCCCAAGGAATTTCCAGATCCTAGCCAGACTGAGTCTGTAGTTCCTAGGACCAGTGTTTGTTTATACTTGCATGTACAGCTGAATGGCTTGAGAAGTCCAGAATAGGTAACTATTTTGAATGTCCTGTCCAAAGTAGCAAGGTGTCACGTATCTTCTGTGTCTCCTGTATCTCCTGTAATGTTTCCCCATCCTAGCAATAGTTTAATGCAATCTGCCTTTTGTTTCTGTTTTGTTGCGGGGGGTGCTTTTTGCCCCCTTCATACTGGGAGTTGAACTAAGGGCATGTTACGTTATTAAAAAGTTCTAATCAAAGTTAATATTTTGGAGGATGCTCAACCTCTCTAGCCATAAAAGAAATGCAAATCAAAACAACACTGAGATAACACCTCACCCAAGTTAGAATGGCTATAATCAAGAACTCCAATAACTACAGATGCTGGAGAGGATGTGGGCAGAAGGGAACCCTACTGCATTGTTGGTGGGAGTGTAAATTTGTTCAAACCACTTTGGAAAGTAGTGTGGAGGTTCCTCAAAAGACTCCACATAGAGCTCCCCTATGATCCAGCAATCCTACTTTTGGGCATTTACCCGAATGATCACAAACCATACTAAAGCTACCAGCACAACTGTTTATTGCAGCATTTTTTTTTTTTTTACCATAGCTAAGATATGGAACCAACCCAGATACCCCTCAGTAGATGAATGGAAAATGTAGTATATATACACAATGGAATTCTATGCCCCCATCAGAGAGAATGACATTGCCCCATTTGTTAGGAAATGGAAATATTTGTGCTTTTCATTTCTATGAGATCATTCTGAAGTGATGGTTTTTGGTGTCATGTCCAGTCCACCAATCTACTTTCCTCCTTAGTTACGTGCATTTGTGAGAGTCTAAAATGCTTCAGGGTGATAATGCCTGTCCTCCCCAGAGCAGATAGCTATTCATCATCGAAACTAGGATACCAGGCTTATGGCAAACACTAGCTTTAAAGCAACTATTTGTAGGCCTCTGGTACATGAAGAGATGAAATTGATCTGTTTTGTGGTAGAGAATTTAAGAGTCTTCTATGCCCTGGATTTCAACAAAAAGCACTTCATTTACAATTAATTGGCTAATATGTTTTCCTAACAGAGTGAAGGTACCCTTCTAGCAACTGGTTCATATGACGGATTTGCCAGAATATGGACTAAGGATGGTAAATGAAGCAGTTCCTTTTACTTGGTTGTTAATCCAAGTTAAACAAGTCATTCATTCTAAAAGGTTTTTTTGGTTTTTTTTTTTTTTTCTTTTTACGTTTAGGTAATCTTGCTAGCACCTTAGGGCAGCATAAAGGCCCTATATTTGCATTAAAATGGAATAAGAAAGGAAATTTCATCCTAAGTGCTGGAGTAGATAAGGTAAATGAACATTAAATTTTGTTCTTAAAGGTTAATGTATAGATGGTATAATTGAAAGTAATTTTTTCCTGCTAATCACTTAAAATATAACATTCATATTTGGGGAATTGAAGTATGAATTTATGGTAGTAATAGAAATGCTTCAAGTTTTTTGTTGTTGTTAGCTTGTTTTCCTCAACCTACTCATCTTGTGTCCTTCATCTTTTGTGTCACCACTCCTCACATTGGTGGTTTTTGAACCATAATGAAATGTGACATTTCCTCATCAGTGAATATGGCAAATCTTGAGTCACAGTTAGCTGAAATTTAGGCTGGATTTTCTTCACTAATGAGGCTGCTGTGAGTGGACAGGTTGGAAATATGATCTTTCATCTCCTCCAACACCTGCCTAGATAAATAAGGGATTAGAATGTTTTTAGCTAGGAAAGACCATGCTAGTAATTACCTGTGTAGGATCACACGGAAAACTGGACAGAAAATGGTTCAGGCTGCAGATTGGCAGCTGGGAGGAGGGGGGGTGTTAAGTTTGGGAAGGGGAGAAGAGCCCTGTTAAAGATCTGAGGCAGGACAAAGGCAACAGGACTCTGAGTTGCCTTTTCTTTCTGTATATGGAGTTTCTCCGGTGTCGCGAAGTAGCTGATTTCACCATTAACAAGTGTTTGCCATCTTACAGGTCAACAGCTGTAGGAATCTTAAACTGTAGGAATCTTAAATGTACTGTTGGAGTGGAGTTTATTATAAGCAATCTGATAAATTCCTAGTATTGTGTTGACAACTAGTCATTGTTATCCTAAGTAAATTGCAGAAAAATCACCAGAAAAAAATTAAATAATCATTTCTGCCCAAGTGGAGTATAGATAGTATTACTACACTGTTTTGGAATAGAATAAATATTTAAAACTCAATCTATTCTCGCATGCCATTCTGCTTTAATACATGTCAGCATCTAATTCACCTATTTGTGATATATTCCTTTTATTAGGAGTTTCATTCTCTTTGCCTTTGAATTTCAGACTACAATTATTTGGGATGCACATACTGGTGAAGCCAAGCAGCAGTTTCCTTTTCATTCAGGTAAATCTTCACAATATGTCTGACATCTGATTCTTCCTACTTTCTAGCTTCTAACTGAAATTCAGCAACATGTGATTAATTTTTAAATCTTGAATTATCAAGTTCTAGTCTTGTTACTATTTCCAGGGGTTGATATCCTGTCCTTTAGAATTATCGGGATCATCAGATGTTTGCTGTGAAATGTACCATACGGAAAGCGTTTGCAGCCTGGTTTAAGTAGGGAGGTATTATTTAGTGTGAAGAATATGTAGAGATTTTGAGTTGGAAGATTTTGTTTGAATGTTAGTTCCACTCCACTTAACTGAGCACATTCTACCTGTAAATATGGGCTAATGCCCTATTACGAGAGTAAGAAAATGTCATGTAGGGAAATAATGTATAAACTGTATATCTGTACATACAGACTAGGTATCTCCAACTTTTCATGTTAAAGTGGCATATTTCAGTCCTCTTATGTACATGAAGTTCAAAACAAACTTTCCTGGTATTGGAATTTCATTGTCTTAGGTGAATTTCTCTTTTTAGGAAATAATGTTGTTGTTTTTTTTTCCTGAATGATATACAAGCTTGTTCGCGGTAGGCAACTTGATAAGGAGAGAGACCTGACTTACTTCTTAAACTAGAATCTTTGTATCTGCTGTCAGTGAACTTCCTGACTGAGGTAATTAGGAAATGCTAACTGAAGATTTAGCTGCTGCTTTTGGAATTTTGATTTGGAGGCCACGATAGACCTTGTTCCTCTCAAATCTTTATAAACATTCTTTGACAAAGACATGTACATAGAATGAAAGCATGCAGTGTGAAGCAGTTGCATTTTTGTCCTTTTCCATTTATTGTGATCATATAAGCCAAATAAGATGTGTAATAACTTTTCTGTAATATCTGAATAGGGTGAATAGAGAGAGCTGCAAGCATCATGCTCCACATTGTTCAGCTCACCTTGATTAAAGCTTACATACCAGCATGCATGTATACCAGAGCCCTTTTACACATCTGTTTTTGCTTATCTGTTATACTTCATTTTTCACTTTGGTTGATAGCAGAATTTTTATAGGCCCGATAGAATTTTCTTAGGCCTCTGGTTATTCCTCCTAAAAGCATCTCATAGGAATAATGTATAGTTGAAATTAGTTAAGTGTGCTCTGATTTGTAGCTATTCTGTAACAAATACCAGGTTTGTTAGGTAGTACTCTGTACATTATCTCATGAAATCCTGGCTAGAACCTGATGAGGAAGAGAGTATGGAAGTCATTTTACAAGTAAATAATCCTATTTACTCATGATGTTCTTTAACACTGTGTTGTGTTTGTGTGTGCACGCATGCACATATGTGTACACTTACACTTATGCTAGGTTTTTTAATCTTCTTATTTTTATGCCCCATAGTAACCATTGCCATTTGTTTTTACTACCAAGAATACTCCTTATAAACACTGGTAGTTACCCTTTTTTTTGGATCTCGTCCTGGGGCCTGAACTCTGGGCTTGGACGCTGTCCCTCAGCTCTTCAGCTCAAGGCTAGCGCTCTACCACTTGAGCCACAGTGCCACTTCCGGCTTTTTTCTTATATTGTGCTGAGAAATCGAACCCAGGGCCTCAGGCATTCAAGGCAAGCGCTCTACCACCGAGCCACCTTCCCAGCCCTGGTAGTTAACTATTGAAAAGAATTTTTGTTGCTCTATTTGGTGCTAACATCAATAAAACTGATATAAATATTCAAAAATCTTTACATGAGTATATATTTTCTTTTTGGGGAGGGGGTTGGGGAGTCAGTTGTGGGGCTTGAACTCTGGGCCTTCAGCTCAAGGCTAGTGCTCTACCACTTGAGCCACAGTGCCATTTCCAGTTTACCCAGTGTTTTATTAGAGATATGAATCTCAATAGCCTTTCCTGCTGGGCTGGCTTTGAACCAATCCTCAGATCTCAGCCTCCTTAGTAGCTAGGATTACAGGCATGAGCTAGCATGCCCAACTTTTCTTTTGTGTAATAGCTATTTGTAGATTGACTGTACCATATGGCACATGTGTGATTAACTGCCAGGCAGCTTTCCAGAGTAGTTTACATTCTCGAGTAGTTCTTATGCTGTCCTTCTGTCTTTTCCTGCACTTTGTTGTTCTGTGTAATTGTAGCTATAGTATCTTCACTGTGGTTGTAATATGCAATTCTATTGATGTGATATTGAGCTTCTTTTTGTATGTGCTTTTGTCATGTTTTATTGTCTTTGGTATTGTCCTTTGTTGTAATCGTTTTCTTATTAATGAGTATTGCTGAATTATGCCCTGTTCAGGTATAGGCTTTGCAAATATTTTATTCTCGTTTGTAGTTTTCTTTGAACTCTTTCATCTATGACCCTGAGAAACCAGAAGTCCTTAATTTTTACTATTTTTTTTTTTTTTTTTTTTACTAATTTTGTAATTAATCATTTTGTGTTATCTAATGTGGAAATCTAATTAGCTCTTTGTCTTCTCTTAGAGATTTCATTTCTAATGTGGATATTCTAATACGGGTATTTAGTGCTATTAATTGGCCTTTACTATTTAATAACTCCCCTTTTGTTTGATTTTTTAAAAATATATATATATATTTGGTGGGTTGTGGGGCTTGAACTCTGGGCTTGGGCACTGTCCCTCAGCTCTTCAGCTCAAGGTGAGCATTCTACTGCTTGAGCCACAATGTCACTTCTGGTTTTCTGAGTGGTTTATTGGAGATAAGAGTTTCACAGACTTTCCTGCCTGGGCTGGCTTTGAGCCTCCACCTTCAGATCTCAGCCCCCTAAGTAGCTAGGATTACAGGCGTGAGCCACCAGTACCCGGCTTACAAATATTTCTTTTTGCAGTGCTAGGGATTGAACTTAAGGCCTTGAGTGTTCTAAGCTAAGTGTTCTGCTACTGAGCTATAACCTTACTCCTAATATCATAATTATTTTGGCAGTAACTCAGGGCCTCACATTTGGTAGCCAGGCGTCCATTTCTCTTTTCCCTTTCTTTCCTCCTCTTTCTCCCGGGGGGGGGGGGGTGGGAGGGGGGCACACATTTATCATTCATCGCGTCCTCTCATATTTTACACACTGCTTAAAACTGTGATGGATCATGACAGATATTTGGCCTTCAAAAGGCTATTATATATTGCCTACTAAAGTAATTAAATTTTTAACCTTCTCCCATTCCCCACTTTTTAAGGCTATAACAAAGGTTTTACTTAAACATTTTTAAGTGTTTTAAGTTTTTACTGTACTGAGTATTCATTTTAGGGCCTTGTGTTTGCCAGGCAGTAATTAAGCCACGTATTCCCCCTCCCCCCAGCCCTAAAATTTAGTTTTAAACTGATGCTTTAATACTATTTAATGTCAAGTCTAATATTATTGGTCAAGTTGTAGATGGAAGAAAGAATCTAAAGTAGATAATCCAAGAAATTCAAGAAAAATAATTACAAAAGTTTGGGAGAAGAATGAAAAACAGGAATGTGAGGTCACTCTGACATTGACAGTTACAGGAAACTAAGACTAGAGAAGATGGCAGGAGCTGATTGTCCAGTAGGAATTTGATCTCTGAAGCAGAGGTGTCTGGCCAAGGGCGGGTACCACATCAAGAGACCTATCCAAAAGAGGAGACAGGCATTGTTGCCTGCCTTTTCCTTTCTCCTGACCTTGGACTTTTGACAGTTTCTTTCATTGTAACTTATGTGGAAACCATTTGGGAAAAACCTATCTGGAAAATGAAATTTTCAAGAATTGGCTACTGGAGTGGTAGAGGTCAGAAGATGCTTAGTATATTTGAAAACAGACACATGAGTTGGATATTCATCTCATTGCAGTGTGCACCAAACAGGAACCATGTTTACATACTGCCCAAGTTGGCCTGCAGTTTTGATTGCTGGTTGACTTAGCTGGGATTCTCCCCTAAGCCAATACCACTAATTGGTATTGGATGGAAGCTGTTCCACAAGTCAGGAGATGAGGGAAGCAGGATGGGAAAGAGGGAAGAAGCCAGTGAAGGATGGATTCTGGTGAAAAAGTTGTAGTCTCAGCCTGGTTCAGAGTGAAGTCAGTGTTTATGTTTCATCTCTACCCAGGGATACTGGGTTTTTACTTCTCATCTCCTAAACTGCATGTACCAGCCATTGGATACTGGGGTAAGGTCACAGGCAGCCCCTCACAGAGAAGGTCTGTGAAATTTTCCCTGGGACCCCTTAGCAAGGAACTGTACACATAACACAGGAAAAAGTTATCTAAAGGACCAATCATCACTACTTGGTGACAATAGAGAAATAGCTCTTATAATTTACTTAGTTGTCAGATCTAAATTTGTGTGGTTCTGGAGGGTTTTTTTTTTAAATGTTTGGTTGTAGATTCTCAGAATTTGAAAGTTCATACAAAAGGTGAATTAATGCTGTTGTTTTTATTTGTCACTGTATTGTTTCATATGTCTCCTTAAGTCGAAGGTTAAACATTTCACTCACTATATATTTACTAAAGAGTCTGAATTCCATTTCTATTTTTTCTTTTTTTAATTTTTTAATTCCATTTCCGTCTCTAGTACGTTACTATTAAATTCTTCCTTTCCTATCTTCTATTACTTGCTTTCTTAAACTGATTACATCCAGGCAGTATTCTGGTTCCAAGCTTTTCATTGAAGAACTATATCTAAAACTACTTCTATTGTCTGATCTTACTGCTATTAGCTTTCTTTGGGGGGAGAGGGAGGGGGGGTGTTTGGTCGTGGAGCCTGAACTTTGGTCCTGGGCACTGTCCCTCAGCTCTTCAGCTTAAGGCTAACGCTCTACCACTTGAGCCACAGTGCCACTTCCGGCTTTTTTCTTTTTTCTTACGTGGTGCTGAGGAATTGAACTCAGGGCCTTATGCATGCAAGGCAAGCACTCTACCACTGAGCCACCTTCCCAGTCCACATTAGCTTTCTTGAGCTATACTTTAAGGCTTAGTTTTCACCTGATTTTGTCACCAGACAGAGGTGAGGTTTAGTGAAGCTTCCCTTTAAAAATTATAGGAACTTTTCATTTAGGGACCTTGACTTCAATTGCACAATAAGAATTTGTGGACAGGTCATGTTGGTAAGAAAATTTGTCAAGAGCTTTATTGAGTAAGTAAACAAGCAGGCAAGGGGGCTGGGAAGGTGGCTCAGTGGTAGAGCGCTTGCCTTGCCCGCATGAGGCCCTGGGTTTGATTCCTCAGCACCACATAAGCAAAAAGAAAAAAGCCAAAAGTGTCGCTGTGGCTCACGTGGTAGAGCTCTAGCCTTGAGCTGAAGAGCTGAGAAGCCAGAGTTCAGGCCCCACGACCAGACCTCCCCAAAAAACCAAGCAGGCAAGTAAACATACAGACAAAAACATTCAAACAGACAAGCAGAAGGACAGGGGCACACTCTAGCAGAGTATGGGTACTCTTGGTAAGAGATAAACACACAGCTCCTTGGGCTGTTGGGGTATTTATATGGTAGAGGCAGGGGGTCTAGTTTCAAAGTTAGTGTAAAGATGGTTACTTTGTCTTTGCTCTAATCACACCTGGTAGTACTTTCTGAGTTTGCAGGTAAAATTTCATCCTGCCATAAAACAGATCCTTACCTTTGAAATAAGAAGGGTCCTGCTATCTGCATTTTGGGGCAAGAGGTGGCTTAAATTTGAGGAAGCATTTTCCACTTTCTGACATCCTGTCAGTCAAGTGTTAATTCTTGGGGTGAAGAATGCATCCTGTTTTTTCTCTTTGCAGCAAAGCTGGCACTTCCATGTATCTAAATACCATATTTCTGAATTACCTTTGCCAGGCCTCAATTTCCTTAAGTTACCCTGTTTAATTTTCCATAAATGACTGTTTCCTTAATCTTAAGGGAAGTACATGAAGGAATATCTCCTGTATTTGCTGTAAGCCGACTGTACCTCATTTTCCCTTCTTCCCATCTTGTTTCAGTTTGTCTTTAGCCAGTTAAAAAATCAGTTTTGCTTTTGTCTTTTGTTGTTAAAAAAAGTCTTGCTGTAAATTTGCAAATTCTGATTAAAATTTTTTATGAGAAATGCTTTAAGACTTCTTTTTCCTGTTTTTTATAAAATTCCATTTGTCTATATTGCAAATAATCAGTCATGTCACATATTGCTGGGCATATTAATTTGGCAGTGGTCAAACAAAATTTTAATATGTGATTTTTTTTTTTTTTTTTGCATGGACAGTTACTGAACATACATGTAATATACAATGAGATAATGATTTTTCTTTCTTTGATCTCCTTTATTAAATCTTTTGGGTCTACAAAGATGAGTATTCTATGCCAAGTTTAACTTCATAATTTTTTGTTTGTTTTTGGTTTTTGTTGATTCTGTTTTGTGGGGGGAAGGGCGAGCTTTTATCATCTTGTTTTTCTTTGTGTTTCTGGTTTCCTTCAGAATGAGATCAAGAAACTTGCTGTCAAGGTTCAGAAAGTAGCCCCTATAGGTTTTGTAAGCCATATGATCTGTGTTAGAGCCAATCAGCTCTGCCTTGAGATCTAAAAGCAGCCTTAGGAATATTGAGCTTAGCTAGGTTTCAGCAAGACTTCATGGACATTGAAGTTTAAACCTCATATAATTTTTACATCAAAGCCTCTTGTGATATCCCTTGCCACAACTGAATGAAATGTAAAGCCTACTTTTAACTCATGAGCCATAGTTTGTTTTAACTCAGTGTTTGTATTCTCCTGTTGCTTAACTGAGTTGATTGCACCTTAGTGCTGCAACACGTTAGTATATGTTGCTAATTATAGAAGGCCTTCATACCTTGCAGCAAAGGAAAATGAAAGGAAAAAATGTTCAATATCAGAGTTAACAGCAGACTACGGTTTTTTGTTTTATTTTTAACCAGCTAACTTTGGGATTCAGAGGCTTTAAATTAAATAATTTTTAAGGGGTAGATTTTAAAAAAGTATTTGACAAGAAGAATATTTGCAAGTCATATGCTCTATTTCAGTTTGCAGGCAAGTAAATACTAATGGATAAATATTGGTTCTTTATTTTACAAGGTTGTTTCTATATAACCTTAGTAAACAAGAATGTTTTTTTCCTCCACCCCCACCTACCAACATCCGTGTACTAAGCTTAACCGTAATATGTTATCCCTGATGTTTTTTTTGGGGGGGGGGCAGCTTTGTTTTGTTTGTTCTCTTTTTTGGGGGGAGGTTGGTCATGGGGCTTGAACTCGGGGCTTGGGCACTGTCCCTGTGCTCTTCAGCTCAAGGCAAGGCTCTCCCGCTTGAGCCACAGTGCCACTTCTGGTTTTCTAGTAGTCTATTGGAGATAAGAGTCTCACAGACTTTCCTGCCCTGGCTGGCTTTGAACCACAATCCTCAGATCTCAGCCTCCTGAGTAGCTAGGATTACAGGCGTGAGCCACCGGCACCCGGCTATCCCTGATGTTTAGATGATGCTTGGGTCTAAAATTAGGCAGTTGGTAGAACTAACTTTGTCCATTTAACATTCAGGGGACTTTAGAATTAAAGGGAATGATGTTGTCATGTTTGAGTTTTAACATTTTATAAAAGAACCCAAGATTTGGTGCTGGTAATTTATACAGTAAATTATTTTCTGTTAGACTGTCTCTCACATAGAGTTAATAAAACGAAAATTGATTATTTGTGATATCAAAAAGGATTTTTTTGCCGGGGGGCGGGGGCAGTCTGGGAACTTGAACTCAGGGCCTGGGCAGTGTCCCTGAGCTTCTTTATGCTCAAGGCTAGCACTCTACTACCACTTGAGCCATAGTATCACTCCAGCTTTTTCTGTGTCTGTGGTACTGAGGAATAGAACCCAGGGCTTCAAGTATGTTAGGCAAGCACTTTATCCCTAAGCCATATTCCCAGCCTCAAGGATTTTTCTTAGTGTCATAAAATGTTTTAGTAAATAGCATTCTTAATGTAACCCATCATGATTCAGAATTCAAGATGTTAGACTTCAATCCATGTGGAGTAAATACAACCTAAACCTTTGTTCTTCTTCAGCACCAGCATTGGATGTTGACTGGCAGAGCAACAACACCTTTGCTTCATGTAGTACAGATATGTGCATTCATGTCTGCAAATTAGGACAAGACAGACCTATTAAAACATTCCAGGGACATACGGTAAGAGACCTTTCTCCTTAAGCCAGTAATGAACAAGAGGTGCTGTAGAACAGTCTTGAAATGTACATGCTTACTGTTACTTTCAGAATGAAGTAAATGCTATCAAGTGGGACCCCACTGGCAATCTTCTGGCCTCCTGTTCTGATGACATGACTTTGAAGGTAATTCACTTAATGGGATATGCGGGTGAGGGTGTCTTACCGTGTGGCTGCTCTGGCCATTTAGAATATGCTCTCATGCTGAATGTTTAGGACTTGAGTAAAAGAATTATTGTCCAGCTTTTTAGTGGCTATTAATTACTGGGTTTTCTTTTTTGAAATATATAAAAACACTTGAATGTAGTAATTTCTGTTTATAGAATGGCTGTGAGTTATGGTTCTTCAGCTGGTGGGAGGGGATAGGATCTCTAAGATCTATGAGCATTGGTATACATGATTATAGAGGCCGAGAAGTCCCACCATGTATGTGTTGCCTAAAAAGTGCTCGGGAAATTGGGTTCCAGTCTTGAATCACAATGCTTGAGAATCAGAAATGTCAGTCCCAGTGGTGTAAGACCCAATCCAAGGACAGACCAGCAGTGACACTGGAGAACAGGAGTGATGCTTGCTTTACCTTTGAGTTTTATGGAGGCCCTCACAAAATCTACTTTGTTTCTTTTTTTTTTTTTGGTTGGTTGTGGGGCTTGAACTCTGGGCTTGGGAGCTGTCCCTGTGCTCTTCAGCTCAAGGCGAGTGCTCTACTGCTTGAGCCACAGTGCCACTTCCCTACTTTGTTTCTTATTTAGAAATTCCCAGAGATAGGGTTATGTCACAGTTCAAGTCGACATAGAAAATTAACCATTACAGATAATAAGAAATGTAATTAAAGTCTTCAATTGACTTCACTATTTAAGAAGTTCTATGTTGGTACAATTAAACTTTTTTTTTTTGCATGTATTACTATTTGACTTAAGATCTGTGTGACTACAAGCAAAACTTACGTGTACTTTTATGTAAGCACACCATATATTCCTGGCTATGGAAAATTTTGAAGCAAAAGAATTAATGTACTAATCTCCTAAGTCTTGTACTTGTTCCATCAGCACCTAAACCTTTTTTTTTTTTTTTTTACCAGTCCTGAGGTTTGACCTAAAGGCCTGGGTCTGACACTGAGCTTTTTAAATATCAAAGCTAGGGCTCTGTGACTTGAGCCACAGCTCTACTTCTAGCTATTGGTGGTTATGGTTAATTGGAGTCTCAGACTTTCTTGCCTGGGCTGGCTTTGAACCGCGATCCTTCTGAGCCTTTTGATTACCTGTGTGTGGGGTACCAGTGCCCTACAACATCGAGTACATTTTTGACCATGACTTTGCAGTCTATTGCTTTGACTTAGAAGAGCTTCATAAAATAATAATAGCAGAGGAAAGTCATTTTCCCTTTTATTGTATACAAACTGAATGGAGCTTGTGAACCTTGTATTTTAAATTTTTTTGTCCCTTTGTGTTTTCATTTAAATAAGTTTCAGTTAGATAGCTGTGCTCAAGTTTGGGCTCCCTTTTAAACATGTTTAGTACAAACTTCTTTCTTTATTTATGTCATTGATTTTCTTGCATGCACATGAAGTCTTCTGGAGTAGCACATAACAAATGTGAGAATGTGAAAGAAGTCCAGTGCTCAAAGAGCTCTGTCATGATTGAGTTGCAAGCTGCAGAGGTTGGAATGAAAACTCTAGGCTTTGGAAAATTGGAGCCTTTCTATAATCCTGAGAATAATTAAAGGTTATATTTGATTTTAAAGTGTAATGGAGCTAGCTATTTTCTGAGAACAGGGAATAAAATGAATCTCAAGAAACACTTAAGAATTTCCACATCTTAAGAGCTTATGTAGAGAAGAATATTTTAAGGGATAAAAGTGGCCAGTTGTATCTTATGCTCTTATAAGTTCTGGAAACTTGTCTTTTGAATTTCTTTACACAGGATTATAAATATCTTTGCTACAAAAACACTGGTATTGCTTCATTTCCTTTTATTAATTACATTGCAGAAATGTGAATTCTAACTTCATTGTTAATTTATTGTGGAGTTATATGTATTTGTTTGGCAAGATAATACCACTCCCTACCTTATATCCCTATTGAATGATTACTACAATATTCTTGACATAGATTGTCATTTTTTTTAGATTCTAATTTTGTAAAGTTTTTGTTACTCAAAGAACTTTGTGTCTGTGTCTGGCTTTGGAGTAGAACTGGGGGCTCACACATGCTAGGCTAGTGCTCCACCAATGAGATATCCCTAGCTTCTTGAATATTGATACCATCTGAAACTATCAAGTAATCTTAAGACAATGCCAGTTAATTTAACCTTCAAAGCCTCACAGTGGTGAATATTTTTGAGGAGCTTAAAGCAATCACTTTTTTACAAAGATAGAAATGTTAAATATAGTCTGAGGTACTTGAGTTTCTTTGTAAACATTGTCTTGACTAATACAGTTGTTCTGGTTATATTACTTACATTTTGACTTGGAAGACAGTATTTTAAATACCCACTGTGTGGAAATAATAATTACTTTTCTTTTTTTGTTTAGATATGGAGCATGAAACAAGATAATTGTGTACATGATTTGCAAGCACATAATAAAGAAATTTATACTATCAAATGGAGTCCAACCGGACCAGGGACAAATAATCCAAATGCCAACCTTATGTTAGCAAGGTGATAATTTCTACTTTTCTACTCTTCCTTTTATGAATCTTCTGTAAATAAAACATAATAAATATGGCAGAAAATTAGAGAAGATTCCATGAAATGAGAATGTTTGGGTTTTTTGTTTGTTTTTGTGTCAGTTCAAGCTGGGGCTTGGCCTGGGCTCTGATTTCTGAGTCTTTCTGCTCAAGGCTAGCACTAAGTGTTTAGGTTTTTATTTTTTATTTTAATTGTCAAGAAAGTTTTTAGGTTTTTTTTGTTGTTGGTCTTGGGGCTTCAACTCTGGGTCTGGGCACTGTCCCTCAGCTCTTAAGCTCAAGGCAAGCGCTTTACCACTTGAGCCAAGTGTCACTTCTGATTTTTCTGGTGATTTTTTTTGGAGATAAGAGTCACAGGGACTTTCCTGAACTGCGATCCTCAGATCTCAACCTTCTGAGTAGCTAGGATTTCAGGTATGAGACCCATGGTCTTTCCTTCCTGGGCCTGGCTTTGAACCATGATCCTTAGAATCTCAGCCTCCTAATTACCTAGAATTATAGGTTATGAGCTACCAGGTAAGGACTCTATTTTTAATGGGATTAAACAGTGAGAATTTGATATTACAATCTCACGTCTTAAGAATTTTTATATCTAAAGATTCTCAAGCTGGAGCTGGTGACTCACTCCTATAATTCTAGCTATTCAGGAGGCAGAGATAATGGAGGACCTGCCCAGGCAGGAAAGTCTGAGAGACTCTCCAATTAACCACCAGAAAACCAGAAGTGGTACTCTGTATCAAAGTGGTAGAGTGGTAGCCTTTAGCAAAAACTCTTGAGAGACAACCAGGTCCCCGAGTTTCAGCCTCATGATCAACTTTTAAAAGAAAAAAATAAAGATAAGTGTAGACTGCTGATATCAAATGCTGATTAATATTAATTGAATAGGCAAGGCATATGGTTACCTGCTAGTAATCCCAGCAACATTTAGTAGGCTGAGGCAGGAATGGCCCAAGTAGAAAGCCATCCTGGGCTATATAAGAAGTTCAGGGCTGGCCTAGACTGTTACATCATCTTATCCTCTTTCCAGAATTTAAAAAAGAAAGAGTAAGGCCTAGTATCATAAAAATTTTATCAGCAGCTTAAAAAGAAAGGTGAATTTTTTTTTTTTTTTTTTTTTGGGTCCAGTCGTGGTGCCTGAACTCTGGGTCTGGGCGCTGTCCCTCAGCTCTTCAGCTCAAGGCTAGCACTCTACCACTTGAGCCACAGCACCACTTCCGGCTTTTTTCTTTTTGCTTATGTGGTGCTGAGGAATCGAACCCAGGACCTCAGGCATGCAAGGCAAGCGCTCTACCACTGAGCCACCTTCCCAGCCCAAGAAAGATGAATTTTAAAATATAGTCAAATTGATTTTCAAAGCTATGAATCAGTTAAAAGAGATTTATTAATTTAAAAAACAACATTGAGGGGCTGGGAAGGTGGCTCAGTGGTATAGCGCTTGCCTTGCATGCTCGAGGCCCTGGGTTCGATTCCTCAGCACCACATAAGCAAAAAGAAAAAAAGCCAGAAGTGGTGCTGTGGCTCAAGTGGTAGAGTGCTAGCCTTGAGCAGAAGAGCTGAGGGACAGCGCCCAGGCCCAGAGTTCAGGCCCCACGACCGGATCCAAAAAAAAAAAAAAAAACAGTGAATTTGCCCATTTATATTTCCAGCTCAGAGCTCTAGGGAAGTCTTGAAGTCTGCTTTTTTCTCTTGTTTAACTTTTCATTATCCAGAATACTTTGATTTTGACAATCAAGTTACTAATCATGAAGGATTTATAGCTAGCTGTTAGGAGTACACAGTGTGGGGAATTGGGCAAGCCTCAATGAGTTCTTTATTACTTATAAAATCGTTTTCCTCCTTGTTTTTCAGTGCGTCCTTTGATTCTACTGTTAGGTTATGGGATGTAGACCGAGGGATTTGCATCCATACTTTGACAAAACACCAAGAACCTGTGTACAGTGTTGCTTTCAGTCCCGATGGCAGGTATCTGGCAAGTGGTTCTTTTGACAAATGTGTGCACATCTGGAACACACAGGTATGTCTGCATTGTTAAAATGTCAAATGCTATAAACATTTGCCGATATAAGCCTTTTTGTTTTTGGTTATTTAATACTCAGTTTTAAAAACATAATATGTTTCTACAGCTAAGTAAACATCAAAACTCTGATAGAAGTTATATTAGTTATATTTTCTTTTTTTTTTTTGGATCCGGTCGCGGGGCCTGAACTCTGGGCCTGGGCGCTGTCCTTCAGCTCTTTAGCTCAAGGCTAGCACTCTACCACTTGAACCACAGCGCCACTTCTGGCTTTTTTTTTTTTAAATTTTTTGCTTATGTGGTGCTGAGGAATCAAACCCAGGGCCTCTTGCATGCAAGGCAAACACTCTACCACTGAGCCACCTTCCCAGCCCAGAAGTTATATTTTCATATGTAGATCAGAATTTAGAATGGATTTACATTGCTTGTTTTAGTATTCATTATTTTATTTGTTTTAACAATGTTGCAGGCACAAAAGTGAAAGTTTTAAGTTTTTTAGATAAATAGCATTTTATTAGATAGAAGAATTGTCCTTGAAGGCCTTGTTTATGAGTAATATGAATTGAAGAACTAGGAGCTGGGAGCTCACTCTTGTAATCCTAGCCACTCAGATTGTGGTTTGAAACCGTCTTCAGACAGAAAGGTCAAAGTAACCAAAAAAACAAAAAAAGACTGGAGTTATGGTAGCACATCCCACCATTTGCTCAAGATGAGCAAGTATTGGGTTCTTAGACTTTTTTTTTTAATCTGTTCAGTCACCCATTTGTCTTTTATTCTGTTAGTAGCATTTTATAATTTTTTTATCCATAAAAGATCTTTTATATACTTAAAGAAATTTCTTTGTAATGTCTTTTGCACATATGGACACACTCACACCAGTACTGGGACTTTGCACCCTTCCTTTGTACTCTTATTGCTCATGTTTGGAACAGTCTTATGACATCAGTTTTAATGAAATTAAACTATGGAACCTCAAATGCTAATGGAAAATGCTGGTAGGCTTTCAAGAGCAATTGATCCTCCTCCCCACCACCAAACACTACTGTATTAGTATGCTTGTTTGTTTGTTTGTTTGGTCGCTGTTTTGGAGCTTGAACTCAGGTTATTTGTGCTGTTCTGAGCTTCTACCACTTGAGATATAGGGAGGTGATAGGTAATTGGTCATCAGAGAGTCTTATGGATTTTCCTGTCCAGCCTGTCTTCAAACTAAAGTTCTCTGATTTCAACCTCCTGAGTGACCAGAACAACATTACAAGACTAGGCAACCAGCGCCTGTCTTGTTTTGCTTCTTTAAATTTAGGTTTCAACATGATAGCTAGTGAATTTTCCATGAGCCACATCTCTGGTTCGGAGTTTTTGCTTCTCCACAATGTAGCTTGAATGGCCTCTAGTGTACTTCCTAATAAGAGTTCCCATTTCCATCTTAAAACCTCATGAACACAACATTTCCTGTCCCATACCCATCCACAGTTTGGTCTTTTGAGCACCTACGCAAATTGCCTATATACCTTCTCCAGCCTGCATGTCTAAACTCTTCCAGATTTCTCCCACAAACCATTTGCAAAGACATCTGAGCCACATGGTCAGGCTTAGTCATAGCAACAACCCCATTTGCCTAGTATCAGTTTCTGTAGTTAGTTTTCATTGTTGTGACTAAAATACCTGACATAACTGAGAAGAAAGGTTTATTTTAGCCCACAATTTCAGAGGTGTCAGCCAGGAAGTAGAAAAAGGAGGCCAGATGAATCATTTTTGCTTTCATTGCTGAAGGAATAAATAAATAAGTTAACACTTAAGACTCAGATAATTGTGTTTTTTTCTGTTAAGATTAGAACATCTTTCAAAAATAATTTTATGTTCTTTCAGCTTCTCTTGACTGTCTTGACCCATGTACTTCCCTAGCTAACAGTGAGCATGAGCATAAACATGAATATAAAATTGTTCAGGATTATCTTGTGTTTCTTTGTCTAAAAGTTATTGTCAAAAAATACTGAATTTTGTTTCTGGAGATCTTGACAAAATTCATGCATCCTCATTAAAAGCAAAAAAATTGCCAGTAATCCTAGCTACCCAGATCTGAGGATTGTTGTTCAAAGCCAGCCTCAGGTAGGAAAATCTATAAGACTAACAACTCCAATTAACCACAAAAAAGCCAGAAGTGGAGCTGTGACTCATGGTAGAGCACTAGCTTTGAGCAGAAAAAGATCAGAGACAGTGCCCAGGCCCAGGCCCATCAAGCTCCAGGATCATCACAAGAAATATCGTGTATTGAATGTTTATCTGTAGCTCTATCATAGATGCTAAAAATAACCAAGACTGTTCACTTACTAGAAAAACTGAGTATGTGTTGGAGTGGTCTTTGAGATTAGTCTTTAAAAAAGGAATACATCATTTCTAGCATTTCCAGAACTTAAAGCTAAATTCTCTCTACTTGCTAGAAATAAAGCAATATTGTATTTTATTCACTATTTGATTTTTTTTTTTTTAATGATGACTTTTAAGATTGTGTCTTTCAATTTTTAGACAGGTGCTCTAGTTCACAGCTATAGGGGAACAGGTGGAATTTTTGAAGTTTGCTGGAATGCAGCAGGAGACAAAGTTGGAGCCAGTGCATCAGATGGTTCAGTAAGTACAGACTGCTGTCAGAAGGGGGTCAGCATGCACGTGGCAGTGGGATTTACTGTAGTTATTTTGATAATGGTGGAAGTGTTTTTTACAAAAGAAATTTAAAGATGCAGTATTTCTTTCCACCTGTGGGCTATACATTTTTCATGTTCATTACCGTCATGTAATGGAAACTAAATTTTGGCTACCTTTGCCGAAAGAGTGTCTCTGTAATCATGTTGTAAGCAATTATTTTGTATGTACTTCTTCATTTGTTATATATATAACAGAGGATCACTCTAGGAATAAGTTGAGTTTTTAGGCTTAGGGAAGGGAGATTAGAGACATTTGGTTTCTTCGCTGAGTAATGTGGGATACTAAGAGACTTTCAAGGATGAGTTTGCTCTAAAAGCAAAGGGAAGATGGAGAGGATGTAGTCATTAGCTCTTTTGGTTTCTTATTAAATTTTTTATTAGCTTTTCCCTGAAGCTTTAGCTTAATAGAGTTTTTAATAGCAACTGGTCTATTTTGTGTATTGTCCCCTACTTTTAATTAACAGCATAATTCCTAAAATTGTAACTAGATATCTCTTCCTGTAGTACTAGCTCTTGGTGGTGCTTCCTCAGTCAAATGTTTTCACTTCTGTTGCTTAAGTGCTTTTTCCATGAATGTTCTTCTTTAGCTTTATAAACTTGGATCTAAGAAACAGATTCCAAGTTGAACTACAGAAAAGTTAAGTTCAGAGTGTACAATAAAGATGCTAAGTATGTTGATTATTTTAATTTCTTACAGGTTTGTGTATTAGACCTTCGGAAATAGCGCTACTAGTTGGAAGCCATGGACCGACTATGAATGTGTACATAGCCAAAATGACTGTCCCTGACCCATGTACTGCTACAGTCCCACTTGAACCATGGCCAGTCCACTACAGCCAAATCTAAGAGAAGTATATACATACAATGTATATAAACAAAATTGCACCCTGAAGATGACAGAGTTTTGTCACAGCTTGTGAATTCTGTTCACCAAGTGCTGGAATCTAATCTGCTGTGCCCCTAAAATAGCATTTAGAAGTTTGGGATATGAAAAACAGAAGAGAGAAAGAAATATACGCTATAAAAGCAGACCATATATGTACCAGAGTTTGGATACTAATGACAGCCTTGTTTCTCCCCTTTGAATCAATCAGCAGACACCATGGATTCTATTCTTTTTTCCCTTCAGTAGTGAGCAGTTTGTATGTACAGAGAAAATGGACGTAACAAAACTCGCAGCAGTAGTTTGTTCTTGCTTTTAAATTTTGTTTTTGGTTTGATTATGGATGCATGAAGTAAGGGAGTGAATCAGTTTCTTGTTTATAATTTTTTTCACCTTTTAAACAACAAAAAATTTCTTAAGAATACTTTAAAGCATTCTTTTGAAGAGGTAGATGTTTGGTACATTTTTGGCTCCCAGAGCATATATTCAACTGGTGCATATTGTGGAAGGGGGCATTGGAAGTTAAATGAAAGCATAGGACTTTGGTCATGTCAACCTAGAAGAGACATCCGTAAAGAAGGATATTATGCTCTGTTTCTGTTTCTATTTCTATTTCTCTCTCTGTCTCTCTGTCTCTATTTCTCTCTCTGTCTCACTATATTTTATTTTAGTGATGTGGCTTAAATACAATAGGTTATTTTGGGGGACATATTTCTGCCAATTAAATACTAGAAGGGCACAAATGTTTTGTTTTTCTTTAAGTACCATATTGAAGATACAAAAAAAAAATCTTCTGATGTTTTGTAACCATAAGTAAATTATGGTTAAAATGTGCACTATTGTGAAAAGGAGCAAAGTAGTTTGGGGCTTTTTTTAAAAATTTGTTTTGCTTTGATTTTTAAGAGATTAAAATGTTTCTGGATGAGGATTAGCTTCTCAAAGTGTCCATCATTCTGTATAGAAGCTTAAATATGTAATGTAACCAAACTCCAGTATTAAAAATCTCTCATGTTATTTTCCTTTATACAAAGCAAGGTAACGGCATATAACACTGCCATTACATGGCAAAATGTTTGCTACCTTAGTTTAAAAACAATCTTTAAGACAAAAGACTTGCTTCAAGGTGTTTTTAAATAGCAGTGATTCAGAATTTTAAAAAGAAAAAAAAAGTGATTGCACTAACCTCCCTGCTGCTCTGACTCTGCATTTGTGGTACTCGTGACTACATTTTCTCAAATATAGATAGATTTACGCTGCTATTTTTTTTCCCCCAGAAATCACTACTATATCCTGTCCTTTACTCTGTTTATATCAAGTATTTTCTTAAAAAATATAGGTATCAAATCAAATTTCCTCTTGTGCTCATGCAGCTAAAAGTAAAGTAATAGGTAAATGTTAGCATGAGCCATGCCTATGTGTGTGATTTAGTAGGGCTTGTCATGATCTGCATAAGAATCCAGGATTATCAATTTTAAAGAAAATAGTTGTCAAATTTTTATCTTAAAATTTTTTAATTAAGGAATTGCTTATGATCAAGCTTAGCAAATTTATAACACTATTTCTGTTCCTAATTATTTTGAGGGCTTTACTAGTAAAAGTTTAACCTATGTTCTAAGTTGAACTAGAAATTGATTTAACCCAAGTAATGCAACTTTTTATTTTCAGCATCTGTTGTTTTGCTATTTTTACAAAATAGCATTGATTGAAGCAAGTCTTAGTTTACTAAGGTAGGGTAGCATTTGCTATTGGTAAAAAGAATACGTACACTTAATTTCACTATACATTGCTATATGTACCCCAGTTGTGGTTAGTGGGGGCTATGATACTGTAATGTTTTTTAAAATTTACACCCAGAGAGGCAGTCATTCACGATGGTTTTGTGCCAGTTGTTTTTAGGGTTTTGGATCACGTTAGAGGTATTTAGAACTAACTGCCCTGTGACTTACGTAGGAAACCTAATATGCTGAGTATCTGGCACTTGATATCCTGCTTTTATTGCTAGAGGTCCACATCTGTGTTTGACCTCTCTTGTTGTTTAAAAAAATAAATAAAAATAAAAAAATCTGTGCAATAATTTTTAAATGTGCTCCCAGGAATAGACACAAATGTTTTGAGTATGTTTAAGCTGCATTTTCCTTTAGCGATGCATTGTCAATTGCACTGAATTTAAATCTGAAAGTCAGAGGTGATTATTGATAGTACTTTTGTATTTTGATATGGACAATTTATTCATTTGCATACAGTTAATGACTTTTTTCCCAGCTGATTTAAAAGATAGTCAAGAAATTCTGCAATATAGCTGCCAAAATAGACAGCTACATTTTTATGATATTGTCATCTTTTCTGTTTTTTTATTCTTCTGCTATTTTACTTAAAGCATAATAGCCACGATAGGACATACATATAAAAGAGTATAAATTCAGAGCTTTATTATCCTGAAGTCTTGGGTCTTTCAAGTATAACCTTCTCTGAAAGGTGTCCATCTCATAGGCTGGTTCTTCATGAGCATCCATGTGTTGGGTTTTGCTGCTGTTCTCAACATCACCATTGCCTGCTGTGTGCCACCATGCTGCTCCAATAGACATGAATAAGATTGTCTCTAATTGAGCAGTAACATGATTGCAAGAGACCAAGTTTCACAGCCTGTAAAAGTTCTATATTTGAGGTTCTTACTCATTTTTCCTCCCATTTTCTCATGAGAACAATTTATTCCTGAAGATCAGCTGAATGCAGTAGTTTTTCTATAGTATTCACTACAAATCATTATTTTTTATGCTACCATTATGAAATTTAATCGTAAGGAAAAATAGGAAGGAAAACTTGAATGAATTCTTACTGATTTAAATAAAATAAGGAGCAGCTGCCACTCTTAAATGTCATAAAGGAATATTTTTTTTTTTCTTCTCCATGTAGGAAGTCTCTTAAGTACTTATCTTTCTTCTAATCCCCCTTTCCTGTAATTGATCAGGTAATATCATTGATTTTAAAATGAGTTTTAGAAGTGGTAACTGGTAATTTCCTAATAGGTCTTAGCGTGTATCAAATTCTGTTTTAAGGAATTATTCTCTAGGTAAAGTATGTTTTAGGATTAAACACCTTTTACAGATACTGAAAGTGCCTCCTTTTGTGGTGTAAAAAACAAATTATGGTGCAAAAAGTAATCATTAGATTGAATTACATGAAGGTTTTTTGCTTTTTGACATAAAAATGTCAAGAGAAAGGCCAAAGATTTGTACTTTTTCACTTAACTTATAAAGCACTCCTTTTTTCCTTAAACTTCTTTCTGTCAAATTAGATTTAATGAGAGAGTACTATTTTTAAGGAGCTATCTGTTTATGTAGAATGATTTTGTTAAGAGTAATGTAAACTATTAATGAGTAGAGGCCTAAAGAGGGCTGTGCATTTTTGCTATTTAAAGGAATCATAAATGACCATACTTTGAGAGAGCAAAAATGACAAGTTTTACTAGATGCTTAGAAAAACAAATCTCATGCAGTGCTATTTACTCTTTTAAGACCATTTTCATTTTCTTAAGCACATTGTATGTTTCTACAGAACCTGTGTTCATGCTCACATACTAAGGACGGTACTTGCATATGGTGAATTACTATTGACAGTTTTGCAGAAATCTTGTTTCACTGGACCAACATTGTGGCATGGCAGCAAATGCCAACATTTTGGGGAATAGCAGCAAACCTACAGAGACCCTGGTTGTTGTTGTTGTTGTTGTTTTTGTTGCTGTTGTTTGTTTGTTTGTTTTTGGTTCCCTTCCCTTCCCTTCTCTGAATCAGCAGGGGTGGCTGGAGGGTAGGGAGCTTATGAATTACTCCTTCCAGTAGTAGCTCTGAGTGTCACGTTTAATATCAATTTTTAACATGATTCTAGTTAAGTGTAGAAGAGAGAGAAAAAGAGGAAGTATTCACTTTTTTAATACACTGATTTAGAAATTTGATGTCTTATATCAGTAGTTCTGAGGCATTGATAGCATCCTTTATTTCTGCCTTTACGTTGACAGTGTTGAAGCAGGGTGAATAACTAAACTAGGGCATATTTTTCTTTTCTAGTGAGCTGCTTCATGATGTTTTCTTTGGAATTTCTGGATAAGTTCAAGAAAATGTTCTGCATGTTGTATCTAGTCTGATGTACTTATCCATCTCATTACAGACAAAAACACACAGACTGCATTTTGTAGCTCTGTAATCCTTGAATACAGAAGTAATTTTCTTCTTTCCTAACTTTGACATTGTAGCTATAATGTTTTCATTTTGATTTTTCCAAATCCTTTGGGTCTAATTCTGTGAGCCTACCTGTAGCACTGGATTAAAATGTCTGCATCATTTCTTTAGTTATCCGGTTAACTTTAAAACTGTTGTAAAAGTGTAAACCAGCCCATGACAGTTTTTTGTACATGTTAAAGAACTTATTGTTCAGTTTTCATGATTATTGTGTAAGGAAGACTGATGAAGATGTTCTATGCTGTCCTGGACCATGTTAATTACACTTACAATGTATTTGGTTCCACATCACAATGATTTGTCCCCAATGACTCTTTTATCCTTTCTAGGCACATTTTTTTGTTGTTGTTGTTGCAGTTTCCCTTTGCATTGTATTGCTTTGACAACTGTAATTTGAATCAGATCTGAAAGAGGTCCAGAATAAAATATATTTTGATATTATGTTGGCTGTGTACATATATAAAACCTTTGATATCTCTGTAGTTTGTATAGACTCCTTAGTCAAGTAAAGAGAGGGATAGTATTTCTTGTTTACAATTTATTGTTTACATTTTCATGCTTTTATTCCTCCAGTGTTTTACTGTAGAATAAACCTTTTGTTCTGAGCTAGTCTTTATGACAGAAAAATCTGTTCTCCCTCACTGGTGTGAGCAATTACAACAGTAACCGCCATCAGAACCAAACCACTCTTATCATGAGCATCGCTTTCCAACTCATATACTTTAAGCCCATAGATAGAATGAAATTTTTTGCTATTTTATTACTTCTTGCAGGAGATAAGATTTTTTAAAATGAAGGGATTATTTTCTATTTTTATTAAAGAATAATAGAGCATCTAACCAGCTAAGGGGTAGAGGTTATTATCCCTTGCTTTAGAGAAACTTACCTAGAGAAACTGATGATGTATTTAAAGGACATTATCTCACATAACTAAGGAGACCACAGATGCATGCAGTTGAGCACAAAACAATGAGTATATGTTGTTGAAGATTTTGGGGGCAGGAGGTTCAGTTTCTTAGTAACATTTTTCCCTTCACATAGACCCATTATTTAATCATTTTCTTCCTTTGCTAGTTGCTTATGTTAGTACCAGCTAATAATCTAGGAGCAAAGCTACTAACCACTCCTTTCAGGTTTAATTAATCACAACTCCTTTACAGTTACTTGAGAGATTTTAAAAAGAGAACCCTTGAGCACATTTTTTTGTTATTTTCCTCTGATTTTCAAAAACTTGTCTTCTCCACATCTCCTGCCTTTTCCTAGCCATTTCCCTTTAAAAAAAAAAAAAAAAAAAGTGCAGGCATAGCCTCCTCGTGTTTTGTTAGAAACAAGCCACTGCCGTTGCTAAAAAACTAACAGCCTTTCACTTTCAAGGGGTTAACTTTTATTGCATGGCATAGATTGTTATTAATACTCTGCATTTTATACTTCTTCCTCAAAGTACTCAAGTACTAAGGATTAGAATCCATATGAGCTTGAAGTTGAGCTGAAATTAATTTGAGCAATCATTGAAAGGGTTATTTTTAATTTCATAGTTCTTATACTTTATCATGGATTAGATTTCTTACCTGTTATAATATGTAGCCAGTTAAAGTTTACTGTTTTTGCAATATATTTATTTGAAAAATACAGTGGAGGAAAAGCCACTATGGACAGTGGTTTTATGGTGCTTTTCTCTGCTGTACTGAAGCTCTCTGTCAACAATGAAATGTTAACCCTATGCTACTTCTACTGCATGCTTCTTAAATGTCATATCTCAATGCTTAATTGTCCTAACTTGTAATATTTTTGTATTAAATTTTTTTAGGAGTTCCTTGTAATTTCTTTATAATTTTAAGACACATTAAACACAAAGTGTTTAGTAAAGTACAGAATGACCATTACTAATGTTTCTTGGTTGTTGGGTTTGTATGCTCAATTGGGAAGATAGTTCACATCTTAAGAACTAGGAGTAATGGGGTGAAATATATATTGGGGGGAAAGAAGTCCTAGTTTTAATATCTGTTTACTCACTTCCAGGCTTAATCACAACTTTGTTAACAACTCAGTTCTTTAAAAACAGTGTTCTAACAGACTGGTGTCAGAAAGGGCTTTTTAAGTGGTTATGCTTTGGCTAAATGAGCATCACATGAGTGACCTGCATATTAACAATCCAGTCATTCTAAGTCGGGGTTCAGTTTGAGATCAGACGTCTAAAAATGTAAGCTTCCAGAAACTTACTCATTTTAGGAAATTTAGAAGAACATACCACACTGCCAAGACATTTTATGAATTTTCTATATTAGCTTAATTTACATCTACTACTTTACCAGTTTAATTACCTGATTTTTCAATGTGGTTACATGAGGGACAATGAAGGGTAATCCCAATGAAGGGTAAGGAGTAACTGAAACTAGCAGAAACTCTTGCACATTATTCTGATGAGTAAATCATCAATTCAAATTAAGTTGAATATGATATAAAAGTGTACCTATGTAGTATTGGTCTTAATATTTCCAGCTGATGTCATTGAGCTAATTTGACATGTGAAAATAAGCATGGTGTTGAAGTAAATAAAATCTTACTGTAAGTCAAAAGTAAGAGGTAAGTAATTTTTACAAAACGATTGGTTAACCTGGAGTGTGTATCAGATCTCCCCTTTCAAAATGCAATGTGTGACCCCTCCCTGAAGGCTGTCCTAGGTAAGTGTGCCTTTTGTCTTATGCCTGTTCACTTGTACTGTAGAAGTCTAAAGGGAAGTTAAGGTATATGTCTTATTTAATTCAAAGCCACATACATAAAAAGAAATTCAAACAGTTAATCATACCACTTTTGAGTCTTGAGCCAACTTGTTATCCCCTCCCTCCTCCTCACTTTCTGCCACTAACTGAACTTTATTTTAGAAACAATCATTTATGAGTTTATAGTAGGGAAATTCTTGGGAAATATACTTTATTTTCTTAGATACAGCAATGAGAGGCTGGGAGGAATTGACTAGTTTTTAAAGCCTTTTAGTTATTAAAGATATGACTTGCTATTTTGTTAAGCAGGATGAAGCTTTTTCCTACTGCAAATTACAAACATGTAGGCTAAATCAAATTACTCCATGGAATTACTAGGCTAACTTTTTTTGTTGTTGTTGTTGGTCAGTGGGTTTGAACTCTGGACCTGGGCGCTGCTCTGCAGCTCAAGGCTCAAGGCTAGTTCTCTACCACTTGAGCCATAGTGCCACTTCCAGTTTTCTGGTGGTTTAATGGAGATAGTTTCACAGCCTTTCCTGCCCAGGCCAGGTTTGAACTGTGATCCTCAGATTTCAGCCTCCTGAATAACCAGGATTATATGCATGAGCCACTGGAGCCCAGCTGAGAGTGTCTCCCTGTGTAGGCCTGGCTAACCTCAAATTCTCAATTCACCTGCCTCAGCTAGGATTACAGGCATGAGCCACCAGCACTGGCTTTTTCTTTTTTTTCCCCCTTTTTTAAACTGGTGGAAGAGACTAATAATTATGTCTTTATTGCCCTTGAGGCACATCTGTTGGAGTGAGGAACTATAAATAACACTAGTTTGAACTATGATTTTTTTTCTCCCACTAGTGTTCCCCACCCTGAGGAAGTAGATGATTTGTTGTTGTGATAAGGGCTGGCAGTGACTATTTAAAAAAACATTTCACAAGAGAATTTGCACTCTCAAGGACTTGGATGGAGACTAGTTAGGATATACTTGGAACTGGTGCCAGTCACTTGAGAAGTTTCCGAGATCTGGGAAGATGCCCATGTCTCTGGAAGCAAGCACCTAGAAAGCAAGGACAACTGTCACAAGTCTGAACTAAGGAGGACTGGTGTGCAGACTTTCTGGTGTGGGTTAGAAATTAAGCTGCAATAGAGATCCATCAGATAGGTATACAGCATGCTCACAGTTAAGATTTTTGTGCAGGTTGGAGGTCAAGGCTAAGTGGGGCCTGGGAGAGGGGTGTCCTGTTAGTACTTGGAAGTAGTAGTTGGAGCTGTGGCCTGCTCCTCTGCCTTTGATATTGCTCTGTGTGTGTGTGTGTGTGTGTGTGTGTGTGTGTGCGCGTGCGTGCGTGCGTGTGCATGCGCGCGCAGCCTATTGAATCTTAGGTCTCATGCACACTGATTATGTGCTCTGTCAGTTAAGATGAGGTCTTCATACTGTCTGCCTTCACTCTGAATTAGGTGCCCCCACTTCTTTACCTCAGCTCTGTTTGTAGATTGTTGCTGTTTCTTAGGCTTCCCCCACCTGCCACCCCAGACTGGGTTACTTATCTTTGGGTCCTCAGTGCCTGTAAAATAGTAGATATTGGTTAATATGAGATAGTGACAAGAGAAGATGGTTGCTAATAAAATGATTATTGAGGGCTAGGAAGGTGGCTCAGTGGTAGAGTGCTTGCCTTGCATTCATGAGGCCCTGGGTTCGATTCCTCAGCACCACATAAGCAGAAAAAAAAGCCGGAAGTGGCGCTGTGGCTCAAGTGGTAGAGCGCTAGCCTTGAGCTGAAAAGCTGAGGGACAGTGCCCAGGCCCAGAGTTCAGGCCCCACGACCGGACCCCCCACCCTTCCAAAAAAATGATTTAAATGATAATAAGTAGAAAGTTACATTCTCTTGAAAAGTGAATGGTAAAAACATTGTAGGGAAAGAAACACCACTTTTTTTTTTATGGGTTTGAGTTGAGCAGGTTAGGTTACATCTGGACACTAATTTCTTTGTGAAAAATAAAAATGAAGATATCATAAATCCTTCATATAATTAATACTCTGATAAAAATTTGTGCTAGTCCTGGGGCATAAACTGGGCTTCAGTACTATCCTTGAGCTGCTTTTGTTCAAAGCTAGTGCTCTACCACTTTAGCCACAACTCTGCTTGCAGCTTTTCAATCAATATAATATCCTGTTTTTTAGGTGGTTTTATGGATTTATAGTCATGTTAATCATTAAGCACAGTGTCTGGCATTAGTATTGCTGTTTTTCCTGCTCTTTTAGACATGCCAGAGAAAACATTTGTTAAAAATAAGTTGCAATTAGATTTACACACACTACTGCTATGGGCAGCAATGTGGAAGTGGTTTGTTGAGCAAACAACTGCATTTTGTTATGATGAGATGTCTTGAAATATGTCATTTTTTGCCTGCAGCTGGTTAGATAGTGGTGTATCAGATGTGTGTGGGGGGGGGGTATTGTTTCCACTTGTCCTTAACTAGTGCTTCTGTAAAATTCATTATAAAGAATTAGATGTGGCTGGGTGTGTAGCTCACTGGTATGCTTGCCTGAGTGCATGAGGCTCTAGATTTAATCCTCACTACCACCAAAAAGAAAAAGAAAAATTCACTGGTCTGAGGGTCGTGGTTCAAAGCCAACCCAGGCATGAGACTCTTATTTTGGTTTAACCACCAGAAAAGTGGAGCTGTGGCTCAAATGGTAGAATATCTACCAGCCTTGAGTGAAAAAGCTCAGGGACAGACCCCATGCCCTGGGTTCAAGCCCAGTAAGATCCAGATATTTTTAGTTTTTCCATCATTGGTCTTCTGAGGATCCAAATCAGGACACCATATATGTGTGGAGTTGTTACTTTTCCTTTGTCTCCCAACTTGATACTGTTAAAAACAATTTCCTCACCAGTTAAAAATTTGTATCTATATATTTTGATGGGCATTGAACTCTGAGTCTCCTGTTCCTTTCTGTCTTGGTTATTTTCAAGATAAGCCCAAACTTCCCTGGACTATATTCTTATGCTTCCCCAGGTTGCCCAGGGTAACAAGTGCACAGGTGTTCACCATGCCCAGCCATTTTGCTTCTGTAAGTGGGATAACAGGCATGCTCACCCAGCAGGTGAGTGAGATAGAGTTGCAAACTGAATGGCCTTGAACCATGGTCCTCTGATCTCCTTCCAAATAGTTAAGATTACAGGCTTGAGCTATTTTGCCCAGATACCCTGGGCATTTTTAAAAGACATGGGCCATGTATTTCATAGAATATCCCTAATGAGTTTTTCTGATGTTTAATGTTCAGGCTGGTTTTACAGGTTTTGGAGGAGACTAGCATTGAATTTTTATCATTACAAGAGAGTACATGATTTACTCATGTTGCCTTTGTGGATATTTGGCAAGGTTGGTGTCTCCCAGATTCCTCTGAAAAATTACCTTTTTCCCCACAGTATTTATTAGAAACAAGGTACTGCTACCCACACCTTAAGGAAAAGGTATCCAACAATGTGTAGACTTGAGTGCATTCACATGTGTTGTGGGAGGGTAGTTTGAAGCTATACAGTTAACATGTTTG